CGGGAACACCAAGTGCCTCTTGCACATACACAGCCTGACTGGACACTGCTGTAAAAATCTGCAATCTGTGGTGTCAGGCGTGTCCTGGCACCAACAGAAGAGCACCCACAGGGACATCACTCGAAGAAGTACACTTTGTTATGAAGTGAGCTGATAAGCCTTAGCTAGGTGTAGACTTATACAGAGTGTATCAGGACAGTCATATATTACTAAGCAGCATTGCAAGCGCTGTTCTATTTATTCACCTTGGTAAAATAAAAATAAAGAGATTCAGCAAATTCTCTAGTTTGGCACTGGTCAGTTTGGACATCTGTGGGTACTAGATGTCACGTTATTGGATTTTAAAGTGAGCAGACAGATCACTGGCGCACCCATGGGGAGGTGTTTGCTCCCAAATTCTGTACAAAGTGGGCCATGTGAGGTGTCAAACGAAAGCTTATGCTCTACTGATTCTATGTATGCTACTCATGTACTTTTATTATGTCTATATGTGAAGTTATGAATATTGTCTCTGTTCTTGTACTGTATTTATTTTTGAAAGAGGACATGCAAATTCTGCAGGAATTTGCATATCTTCTTCCAATCTCACTTTCAAAAGTGGGTCTTTCGAAAGTGAAAATAGTCTGGATAAGATTTTTTCAGAAAAAAACCCCTTTTTTGAAAAACCATTCTTCCTTAAAAATGATTAGGGGTTTGAAACGGGTCCCATGTGAGGAGAGATTAAGTGATTGGTCAACAAAATGTTAAATGAAATTTAATGTGGATCAATGTAAAGTAATGCACATTGGAAAAAATAACCCCAATTATACATACAATACGATGGGGGCTAATTTAGCTACAGTAATCAGGAAAGAGATTTTGGAGTCATCGTGGATAGTTCTCTGAAGACGTCCACGCAGTGTGCAGCAGCAGTCAAAAAAGCAAACAGGATGTTAGGAATCATTAAAAAAGGATAGAGAATATGATAGAGAATATCTTATTGCCCTTATATAAATCCATGGTACGCCCACATCTTGAATACTGTTTACAGACGTGGTCTCCATCTCAAAAAAGATATACTGGCATCAGAATAGAACATAAGAATGACCATACTGGGTTAGACTAAAGGTCCATCCAGCCCAGTACCCTGTCTGCCAAGAGTGGCTAATGCCAGGTGTCCCAGAGGGAGTGAATCGAACAGGTAATTATAAAGAGATCTCTCTCCTACCATCCATCTCCACCCTCTGACAAACAGAGGCAAGGAACACCATTCCTTACCCATACTGGCTAAGAGATCTAATAGATTAGTAAAACATGATTTCCCTTTACAGAAACCATGTTGACTTTTGCCCAACAAATTATGTTCTTCAATGTTATTCTTTAGTACTGTTTCAACTAATTTGCCCGGTACTGACGTTAGACTTACCAGTCTGTAATTGCTGGGACCGCCTCTAGAGCCCTTTTTAAATATTGGCGTTACATTAACTATCTTCCAGTCATTGGGTACAGAAGCTGATTTAAAGGATAGGTTACAAACCATAGTTAATAGTTCCACAATTTCACATTTGAGTTCTTTTAGAACTCTTGGGTTAATACCAACTGGTCCTGGTGATTTGTTATTGTTAAGGTTTTCTATTTGTTCCAAAAGCTCCTCTAATGACACTTCGCTCTGGGACAGTTCCTCACATTTGTCACCTGCAAAGGACAGGTCAGGTTTGGGAATCTCCCTAACATTCTCAGCCGTGAAGACTGAAGCAAAGAATTTGTTCAGTTTCTCCACAATGACTTTATCGTCTTTAAGTGCTCCTTTTGTATCTCAATCGTCCAGGGGTCCCACTGGTTGTTTAGCAGGCTTCCTGCTTATAATATACTTAAAAAAACATTTTGTTATTACCTTTTGAGTTTTTGGTTAGCTATTCTTCAAACTCCTTTTTGGATTTTCTTATTACATTTTTACACTTAATTTGGCAGTGTTTATTCTCCTTTCTATTTACCTCACTAGGATTTGACTTCCACTTTTTAAAAGATGTCTTTTTATCTCTCACAGCTTTTGTTACATGGTTATTAAGCCACGGTGGCTTTTTTTAGTTCTTCTACTATGTTTTTTAATTTGGGGTATACATTTAAGTTGGGCCTCTATTATGGCGTCTTTGAAAAGTTTCCATGCAGCTTGCAGGGATTTGACTTTAGTCAGTGTACCTTTTACCTTCTGTTTAACTGACCTCCTGATTTTTGCATAGTTCCCCTTTTTGAAATTAAATGCCACAGTGTTGAGCTGCTGAGGTGTTCTTCCCACCACAGGAACGTTAAATGTTATTATATTATGGTCACTATTTCCAAGTGGTCTTGTTATAGTTACCTCTTGAACCAGATCCTGCGCGCCACTCAGGACTAAATTGAGAATTGCCTCTCCCCTCGTGGGTTCCTGTACCAGCTGCTCCAAGTAGCAGTCATTTAAGCCATTAAGAAATTTTGTCTCTTCATCTCGCCCTGAGGTGACATGTACCCAGTCAATATGGGGATAGTTGAAATCCCCCACTATTATAGAGTAATTTATTTTGATAGACTCTCTAATCTCCCTTAGCATTTCATAGTCACTATTACTGTCCTAGTCAGGTGGTCGATAATAGATCCCTACTGTTATATTCTTATTAGAGCAGGGAATTACTATCCATAGCGATTCTATAGAACATGTTGATTCATTTAAGATTTTTACTTCATTTGATTCTAAATTTTCTTTCACATACAGTGCCACTCTCCCACCCACATGACCTTTTCTGTCCTTCTGATTTATTTTGTACCCCGGAATGATTGTGTCCCATTGATTGTCCTCATTCCACCAGGTTTCTGTGATGCCTATTATATCAGTATCCTCCTTTAACATGAGGCACTCTTGTTCACCCATCTTATTTTTTAGACTTTTAGCATTTGTGTACAAGCACTTTAAAAACTTGTCACTGTTTATTTGTCTGCCCTTTTCTGATGTGACAGATTCTTTTTATGTGAATGTTTTTCATCTGATCTGGCCCATACTTTATCCTCTTCCATTCTCTCCTCCTCACTACAACCTAGAGAATCTCTATTAATAGACTCTCCTCTAAGAGACGTCTCTGTCCGATCCACGTGCTCCTCTGCATCAGTTGGCTTTCCCCCATCTTTCAGTTTAAAAACTGCTCACGACCTTTTTAATGTTAACTGCCAGCAGTCTGGATCCACTTTGGTTTAGGTGGAGCCCATCCTTCCTGCATAGGCTCCCCCTATCCCAAAAGTTTCCCCAGTTCCTTATAAAACTAAACCCCTCCTCCCTACCCCATCGTCTCATCCACGCATTGAGACTCTGAAGCTCTGTGCGCCTACCTGGCTCTGCATTTGGAACTGGAAGCATTTCTGAGAATGCCACCATAGAGGTCCTGAGGTTCAGAGAAGGGCAACTAAAATGATTAGGAGTTTGGAATGGGTCCCATATGAGGAGAGATTACAGAGACTGGGACTTTTCTGCTTGCAAAAGAGGAAACTAAGGGGGGATATGATAGAGGTATATAAAATCATGAGTGGTGTGGAGAAAAGTGAATAAGGAAAAGCTATTTACTTGTTCCCATAATATAAGAACTAGGGGCCACCAAATCAAACTAATGGGCAGCAAGTTTAAAACAAATAAAAGTAAGTTCTTCCTCACGCAGAGCACAGTCAATCTGTGGAACTCCTTGCCTGAGGAGATTGAGAAGGCTAGTACTATAACAGGGGTTAAAAGAGAACTAGATAAATACATGGAGGTTAAGTCCATTAATGGTTATTAGCCAGAATGGGTGAGGAATGGTGTCCCTAGCTTCTGTTTGTCAGAGGGTGGAGATGGATGGCAGAGGAGAGATTGCTTGATCATTACCTGTTTGGTTCACTCCCTCTGGGGCACCTGGCATTGGCCACTGTTGGAAGACAGGATACTGGGCTGGATAGACCTTTGGTCTGACCCAGTATGGCCATTCTTATGTTTATGTACTTTAGATTCTAAAGGACTGGCTCAGCATGCTCTTGTGGGTAAGAACCAAAGTGTAAATTGACTGGGAACTGAGGCTGGTTCTTTGGGACAAGGAGGAACTGTTTGGGGTTCGTGAAATTAGGTTTTATAATCTCTCACCTGTGTGTAGGTCCGGGGCTCACTGTAGCAGTGAGAGCTGGAGTGTCTGAGGGGTTTTGCTCGTGAGGCTTCCGGCTGGCCGGATTGGCAGCTGGGGCACTCGGGGTAACTGGTTTGTGACCTATTTTGGGAAAGGTCTCCAGTAGAGGGCTGTAAGTAGCCCTGGTTTTGAGCAATTTGCCCGGAGCTGATGCCCGCAGCGGTGCCCGGACCTGGCCCAGTCCGTCACACTAAACCAGAGGAGTTAAACTTGTAACTTGCATGAAATGAACTGGTGAGATCTCAGTCAAGTATCTATTGGTTAGATATATGCATTACAAAAGCTATATCTAAGTGACCTCCTTCCTGCAGCAGGAGGTCACAACCTGAATCAGACCATTAAGATTGAGTTCCGTCCTCAGGAACTGGTGCATAACAGCACTAAAATATTTATAACAGCACTAAAACTAGAGAGGTTCAGCCTGTACTCTATTCTCCAAAGCTGCTAGTCTGGCACCTTTTACTTTTAAATATATGAAATGACATTAGATTAATATGTTTCTAAATATCAGTCTCCCTTGTTTTTAAGAAGAAATCTTTAGAAAAATGAACAATTCATCAAGTAATGAGACAAACATCTTCGAAATGCTCCAACCAGAGTATATTTGGTAATCTATGAAGCATTAGATGCATGAGAGTTTATCAAAACCAAAATAAATATTTGAGGGAATACATATTCAACTGATGCTAGACTAGCTAAATTTTAAAAATGACTTTATACAAAACTAAGATTGCACAGCAGAAACATTATTTACAATCTACAATATCCCAAGGAAGTGTGAAGTACAGATTCTTACATATCAGACTAAGAGTTTAAAATGGTTTCTTTGACTTCAAAAAGACTTACACTTTACGAGTACAAAGTCCCTGAATTCCTGGTGATCCGTGAACACGGGTGGGGTTGGAAGGGGAGGCCCAAAGAGAGGTACACTTTCTTCTGAAAAAATTTTCAGCCTAATGAAAAAAGTAACATACAAAGAATACCAGACACTCTGCTTAAGTAGGAACAAGAACTAGAAATTGTTACTGGGAAACATATCGACACTTAAGATATCACAAGTTTCAGTGGATGTTCCCAGAATAGTCACCTGGGATCAGATCAGAGCTGGGCAAAATCCGGACCACCCTGCGGGGACCCTCAGGAACATGCAGATGCCGCAGTTTAAAACACAGTCCCTGCATCTCTCTGCCCTGCAGGGAGGGGGAGGCTTAGTGTGATCTCCCCTACCCTCAGCCCAATCCTCAGCTCCTAGTGGCCAGAAACAACCAGCCAACCTCTCAGCTCTTATTGGCTGGAAACAGCCAGGCAATAGGAGCTGAGAGATTGCCCTAAGAGACTGGGGCAGCACAAGCCTGTTCCCCTATGTGGAGTTGAGAGCCACGTGGAAGAAGCAGCCTCCACAGAAAAGTGCGGCCCTTGATCACTTACCAAAACCTTGGAGTGGCTCCTCCCAGCAAAAATTATTGCCCACCCCAGATCAGATGCTGCCATCCATCCATTAATGAGTCCATTACTTTACATTCAGTGGACTCCTGAAGATTATACACAATGGCAGAATCTAGTCCTTATTCAAGTAAACAGGAAATTACAAACATAATATATGTTACAATATCCTACCATGGTGTACATTATTTATGTTACATTGTGTATTACAGACATTTTCCAACACATCCATGGCACATATGAGGAGGAGCCTGTGGCACCTTAAAGACTAACCAGTTTCTTTGGGCACAAGCTTTCTTGTGAAAAAAACACTTTTTCAGATGCATTTGATGAAGTGGGTCTTTGCCCACAAAAGTTTATGCCCAAATAAATTTGTTAGTCTTTAAGGTACTATAGCTTGTGAACCTGTAAACTTATATACTTTCCTACATACTTTCACTACACTCTAGCAGTAATTCAAGGGCCTATCCCATTTATAGATTTTAGAAGTTGTGAAAGGATTTGTGGTGAAATCTTCAGTTGTGTCAGGACACACATAATAGCCAGACTGGGATGAGAATACATGAGTCAGTGTCTTGTGAGGTCTAAAAGGGTCCAAAATGCAATGACCCAGCCAAACTGACATCCTGATCAATGAAACAGAAGGAACTGGTACCTGACCACAAGTTTCCATATTTCCCACTTTGGGGAATGTGTGTCCAAAAGGTCATCAAGTGACCTTTTCGTGCATATTCAAAAGGATTTCCCAATTTAATCATCCAAACAAATACATGTACCCTCAAAAATCTCAAGGTGTGGAAATCTGTTTTGGCCTTGAGGAGCTGGCTAAAGGTGATGCAAAAAAGGCCCATAAGACCCAATGGCAGTGGAGGTGCAGTAGGATGTCGCTTCCTCACTAAGGATTTTCTGTTCGAGGTTTGTCTACCTCAAACACTTTCCTTTACTTATTCTTTTCTAAGTTTTCTCTGCTATCATACTTCATCCTACGGCCTATAATGGCAAGGAGAAAGGAGGGTCAAGGCACAACAGGGAGGCAAGATCAAATCAGTATCTTAGATGCCTATATGGCTGAGTTTGGAAGCAGAGAGAGCAGGGGACACTGCCCCCCTAGTCTTTTAAAAGAAGAATGAACAGTTCTTCCCTGTTCATGTTTTTGTTTCTTCAACAGGGAAGAGTGGGCAGGTCTAAGACAAACATGCTGAGCACATTCTGTCAGGAAGGACAGACAGGGAAAAAAGGGAGGAGGGGTTGCCTTGTATATTAAAAATGTACACACTTGGACTGAAGTGGAGATGAACGTAGGAGATAGCTGTGTAGAGAGTCTCTGGGTTAAGCTAAAAGGGGTAAAAAACGAGGGTGATATCATGCTAGGAGTCTACTACAGGCCACCTAGCCAGGTGGAAGAGGTGGATGAGGCCTTTTTTAAACAATTAACAAAACTATCCAAAGCCCAAGATTTGGTGGTGATGGGGGACTTCAACTATCCAGACATATGTTGGGAAACTAACACAGCGAGGCACAGGCTATCCAATAAGTTTCTGGACTGCATTGGAGACAACTTTCTGTTTCAGAAGGTTGAAAAAGCTACCAGAGGAGAAGCTGTTCTGGATTTGGTTTTAACAAATAGGGAGGAACTAGTTGAGAACTTGAAAGTGGAAGACAGTATAGGGGACAGTGATCATGAAATAATAGAGTTCATGATCTTAAGGAAAGGTAGAAGGGAGACCAGCACAATTGAGGTTATGGATTTCAGGAAGGCAGATTTTGATAAGCTCAGAGAACTTGTAGGTAAGGTCCCATGGGAAGCAAGACTGAAGGGAAAAACAACTGAGGAGAGTTGGAAGTATTTCAAAGGGACGTTGTTAAGGGCCCAAAAGCAAACAATTCCGCTGTGTAGGAAAGATAGAAAATATGGCAAAAGACCAGCTTGGCTTAACAAGGAGATCTTGCATGATCTCAAAATAAAAAAGGAGTCATATAAAAAATGGAAACTAGGACAACTAACAAAGGATGAATATAGGCAAGCAACACGGGAATGCAGGGGCAAGATTAGAAAGGCAAAGGCACAAAATGAGATCAAACTAGCTACAGGCATAAAGGGAAACAAGAAGACCTTTTATAAATACATTAAAAGCAAGAGGAAGACCAAGGACAGGGTAGGCCCACTGCTTAGTGAGGAGGGAGAAGCAGTAACAGGGAACTTGGAAATGGCGGAGATGCTCAATGACTTCTTTGTTTCGGTCTTCACCGAGAAGTCTGGAGGTGTGCCTAACGTAGTGAATACAAGCAGAGAGAGGGTAAGTTTAGAAGATAGGATACACAAAGAACAAGTTAAAAATCACTTAGGAAAGTTAGATGTCAGCAAGTCACCAGGTCCTGATGAAATGCATCCCAGGATACTCAAGGAGCTGATAGAGGAGGTATCTGAGCCTTTAGCTATGATCTTTGAAAAATCATGGCAGACAGGGGAGATTCCAGAAGACTGGAAAAGGGCAAATATTGTGCCCATCTATAAAAAGGGGAATAAGAACAACCCAGGAAATTATAGACCGGTCAGTTTAACGTCTGTCCCAGGGAAGATAATGGAGCAGGTAATTAAGGAAATCATATGCAAACACTTGGAAGGTAATAAAGTGATAGGGAATAGCCAGCATGGGTTTGTGAAGAACAAGTCATGCCAAACTAATCTGATAGCTTTCTTTGATAGGATAACGAGCCTTGTGGATAAGGGAGAAGCGGTGGATGTCATATACCTAGACTTTAGTAAGGCATTTGATACGGTCTCGCATGATATTCTTATTGATAAACTAGGCAAATATAACTTAGATAGGGCCACGATAAGGTGGGTGCATAATTGGCTGGATAACCGTAGTCAGAGAGTTGTTGTTAACGGTTCTAAATCCTGCTGGAAAGGGATAACAAGTGGAGTTCCTCAAGGGTCTGTTTTGGGACCCGTACTGTTCAATATCTTCATCAATGATGTAGATATTGGGATAGAGAGTACTCTTATTAAGTTTGCAGATGATACCAAACTGGGTGGGGTTGCAACTTCTTTGGAGGATAGGGACATAATTCAAAATGACCTTAGCAAGTTAGAGAAATGGTCAGAGGTAAACAGGATGAGGTTTAATAAGGAGAAATGCAGAGTGCTCCACTTAGGAAGGAACAATCAGTTCCATACATACAAGATGGGAAGCGACTGTCTAGGAAGGAGCATGGCGGAAAGGGATCTAGGGGTCATAGTGGACCACAAGTTGAATATGAGTCAACAGTGTGATGCTGTTGCAAAAAAAGCAAATATGATTTTAGGTTGTATCAACAGGTGTGTTGTAAGCAAAACTCGTGAAGTCATTCTGCCGCTCTATTCTGCACTAGTTAGGCCTCAGCTGGAGTACTGTGTCCAGTTCTGGGCGCCACATTTCAAGAAAGATGTGGAGAAATTGGAAAGGGTACAGAGAAGAGTGACAAGAATGATTAAAGGTCTAGAGAAGCCTATGAAGCCAGGCTTCATGAACTGGGCTTGTTTAGTTTGGAAAAAAGAAGATTAAGGGGGGACATGATAGTGGTTTTCAAATATCTAAAAGGGTGTCACAAGGAGGAAGGTGAAAATTTGTTCCTCTTGGTTTCTGAGGACAGGACATGGAGTAATGGGCTTAAAGTGCAGCAGGGGAGGTTTAGATTGGACATTAGGAAAAAATTCCTAACTGTCAGGGTGGTCAAATATTGGAATAAATTGCCAAGGGAGGTGGTGGAATCTCCCTCTCTGGAGATATTTAAGAACAGGTTAGATAGACATCTGTCAGGGATGGTGTAGGTGGAGCTTGGTCCTGCCTTGAGGGCGGGGGGCTGGACTCGATGACCTCTTGAGGTCCCTCCCAGTCCTATTATTCTATGATTCTATGATCCCTTTCACTGAGATCCTCGTTCCTCTAGCGGACGGAGGCTGGTCCTCTAATGCCCAGGTTCTCCGAGAAGGGTGTATGTGAGTATGGTATTATACTACATAACTGTAACTGTATAATTAGATAATTATAATTGTATGCTCAGGCTTCATTTATGCTACTCTCCGGGGTGATCAAATACATTTATTCAGTCATTGCTGTGAGCTTTGTATTGTTTGCAGTCTTAATACCAGTTGTAATAAAAATTGTTTTATTTTGCTACTACCCTTAGAGTAAGTGACGAGGAGTCCTTAGAGTAAGTGTGATTGTTGCGGTTCCCAAGACCTGCCTACAGAGCTCTACAGCTCTCAACCTCTATGACCGGGGTGGAGGACAAACCTAGAACCTTCTAGTCAGATTAGGCGGACTATACCCATACCTTATTCTTAACCCCAGGATACGGTACCACAGCACTTCCCATTGTTTTTTGCAGATACAGGCTAACATGGCTATCCCGCTTATATTTGTCACCTAGGCACATATATAAAAGGAGCCAAGAACTAGAGTACTGTATGAAGAAACATAGTTAAAGGGAGAGATTTTCCTGTCTACAAGTCTAGTTTCAATTGGATACAGAACGCAATACTGGATTCCTCGTCTGAGTATATTCTTGGTCACATTACTGCATCAGAATGTAAGAGGCTCTCCTTAGGCATAATAGAACACACTGTGTTTTATAAGGTGTGACTTATCTGGGGGAAAATTTCCATAGATCTCAACTACATTATGCCCACCAGCCATAATGCCCAGCAGAACTATTTACTGCTCACTTTCATGATAATTTAAAAACACCCAATTCATAGAATTTGATAGATGAAGAATGGTTTGCTTCTAGTATAACATCAAACTAACAAAGTAAATGGTTTGGTTAAAGTTAGCACCTACCTGTAACTGTCATTTTGCTTATTATATCTCACTAAGGCAAAAATATCTGCCATGCAAGTTAAAGAAATTAATCCATTACTTTCATGCCTATGGAGTTGACTTGTGTTTTGAAAATGCCCATTCTGTTGAAAAAGCAGATGAAATATGGTGAAATATATTAACTGTTTTATTACATTTGATATAATTCTAGTCTATGCACCTTAGATTGTTCTGATAAGCCATCTCTTTTAAATGTTTAAAATGGCAAGGCTTAAAAAGTGCAAGTATATTGAGAAGTTTTTCAATAACTCAACTCGCTAATATGATGGTCACCACATCTCTGTAGTCAGTATACATGAGGACAAACCGTACTCAGCAAAATTTTAGCTAGGGATGTAAAATCCCATTTCAAACGTTAACTGGTTAAATGTTACGTTTAATTGGTTATCTGGGATCCCATAGGTGCCCCCTATCTATGGCACAGTGAGTCTGACTGGGCCATTAGTTAACCGGTTACCAGTAAGCATCACCCAGTAAGGATAACGCTCTCTGAGTAACCAGTTATCCCTTTGCAAGTCATCACTAGGTTTAATGATGTTGAAAATAACTCGTTCTTTTCTACAGTCACCACCAAATGGATTATTAAAAACTCAAATAAAAATCTGAAAGACAAGATTCAACATGTGGATAAAAGATACAAGTGGACAGGGAGAAAGGGTTAACAGTAGACCATGTAGTCAATATCACAACTGGGTTTAAAAGTCACAAATTCCTGACTCTTAGAATTGTGCTAATTTCTATACACCATAATGCAATTTTAAAATATTAATTATCAGCTTGAAGGACTGAGCAGTCCTGTGGCACCTTAGAGACTTAAATGTATTAGGTCAATTTGTTAGTCGCTAAGGTGCCACAGCACTGCTCATTGTTTTTAAAGTTACAGACTAACACGGCTCCCCCTCTGAGACTTATCACCTTGAAATTTTTGTTAAAACCTTTAATTGTTGTATCCCATTCCATCTATAGTACATATCTAAAATACATTATTTCTAAATGTCATGAGACAGTTTTCAGTTGATACAGAAAAAATTCCCTTCAACAGCAGAAGTATTTTTCAGAAAAATACTTTTGGAAATGTATATGAAGTTAACTTTCTGAAGCCATCTAAAGAATTATTTAGTAATAATAAATCTGATCTGAAAGTGTCTGCTTGTTTTTAATCTGCACATCCTTGATGTAGCTCATGATAGAGAATTTTCACAAGGTAGATTTAGATACAAAATTGAGTAATCCATAACATGTCAGGCAGAGTTTCCTTTTAAAATAACTTCTCTCTTTTGTGAGTAGCAAATAGAAAAGAGTTAATAGGAGATTTTTAAACTAGCTTTATCCCACTAAAAAACAGAAGGAAAAAGATACGTGTAAAATGAGAGCGAATCATGGAAGGCTTAAATGCTGGAGAAGATTCTTCTCCTTCCTGGAATACAATGGTGACAATGTCATTTCCAATATGACGCTTCCTTTCTACCTGCAAAAAGGAGAAATAACATTGCTAGAATTAGATCCTGAGTACTAACGCAGTGAAAAAACAATGAAACACAACATGAGATTATTGAATTTAATGCACTTTTTCTATGATGGCAGTTGACAGTAATCTGAAACTTGCGCAAGCATCATTTGTATAAACATTTTATTCTGTTTCTATCTCAATACAGAGATTTAAAAGTGCAGTACAGTAATGTCAAAATACTATGAAGCTGCTTTATTCATTCTTGTTCTCATTGTACAATGGCCATGGGAATATGAGAAATTGATATTTATAGCCCAACCACAGTATTTGTCAAAATTAATTAGATTAGCTATATTATTTTAATTTATCTGATTTACATGCAAATTATATTTTTAAATTATTCTCAAACCTTTTTATGGAGGAAGGGAAAGCAAGGCTATATATATCTTGCAGCATAGTTTACTGCAAAGGACTTGTTAGGAGTTCATTTCTAATGTGAAAGCATCAAGGTGAGTCTAAATGCAATTGGATTTCAATAACCTTAATCAGAGAACCACAAAACAAAACTTCAGAAGTAGCTATGGAATGTCAAACTAAGCCAAAAGAAATGGTAAAATCTGATCAAATGAAAAACGTTTTGTCTGCTTTTTCAAAGCTTACATATTGATCCATTGCTTGGTTTAAGGTCTTATCCCTTGTGATTAAGCTCTCTAGGTGAGATATCCATTAAAAACGTAGCCAGTACTTTTCAGCCTGGGTGCAACATAGAATCATAGAACACTAGAATTGGAAGGGACTTAGAGAGGTTATTGAGTCCAGTTCCCTGCCCTCATGGCAGGACCCAGTACCGTCTAGATCCCTAATAGACATCTATCTAACCTGCTCTTAAATATCTCCAGAGATGGAGATTCCACAACCTCCCTAGGCAACTTATTCCAGTGTTTAACCACCCTGACCGTTAGGAACTTTTTCCTGATGTCCAACCTAAACCTCTCTTGCTGCAGTTTAAGCCCATTGCTTCCTGTCCTATCCTCAGAGGCCAGAAGAACAATTTTTCTCCCTCCTCCTTGTAAACGCCCTTTTTAAAATTGAAACTGATATTATGTCCCCTCTCAGTCTTCTCTTTTCCGAATTAAACAAACCCAATTCATTCAGTCTTCCTTCATAGGTCATGTTCTCTAGACCTTTAATCATTCTTGTTGCTCTTCTCTGAACCCTCTCCAATTTCTCCACATCTTTCTTGAAATGTGATATCCAGAACTGGACACAGTACTCCAAATGAGACCTAATCAGTGCAGAGCAGAGTGGAAGAATGACTTCTTGTGTCTTGCTCACAACACTCCTGTTACTGCATCCCAAAATCATATTTCCTTTTTTTGCAACAGCTTCACACTGTTGACTCATATTTAGCTTGTGGTTCACTGTGACCCCTACATCCCTTTCTGCAGTACTCCTTCCTAGACAGTCACTTCCAATTCTGTATATATGAAACTGATTGTTCCTTCCTCAGTGGAGTACTTTACATTTATCCTTCTTAAACTTCATCCTATTTACCTCAGACTCTTTCTCCACTTTGTCGAGATCTTTTTGAATTATGACCCTATCCTCCAAAGCAGTTGCAACCCTTCCCAGCTTATCATCACCTACAAACCGAATAAGCGTACTCTCTAGGCCAATATCTAAATCGTTGATGAAGATATTGAAAAGAAGCAGTCCCCAAACAGATCCCCTGCAGAACCCCACTTCTTATGTCCTTCTTGCAGGATTGATTGAGAACCATTAATAACTACTCTCTGAGTATGGTTATCCAGCCAGTTATGCACCCACCTTATAGTAGCCCCATCTAAGTTGTATTTGCCTAGTTTATTGATAAGAATATCATGTGAGACTGTATCAAATGCCTTACTAAAGTCTAGGTATACCACATCCACCGCTTCTCCCTTATCCACAAGACTCGTTATCCTATCAAAGAAAGCTATCAGATTGGTTTGGCATGATTTGTTCTTTACAAATCCATGCTGGCTGTTCGCTATCACCTTATTATCTTCCAAGTGTTTGCAGATGAATTTCTTAATTACTTCCTCCATTATCTTTCCTGGCACAGAAGTTAAACTGACTGGTCTGTAGTTTCCTGGGTTGTTCTCATGTCCCTTTTTATAGATGGGCACTATATTTGCCTTTTTTCCAATCTTCTGGAGCCTCTCCCAACTTCCATGATTTTTCTAAGTTGATAGCTAAAGGCTTAGATACTTCCTCTATCAGCTCTTTGCATATTCCAGGATACATTTCTCCAGGCCCTGGCGACTTGCAGACATAAACATTTTCTAAGTGATTTTTAACTTGTCGTTTTTTTAATTTTATCTTCTAAACCTACCCCATTCCCATTAGCATTCACTATGTTAGGCATTCCTTCATCATCAGACTTCTTGGTGAAGAAACAAAGTCAATAAGTACCTCTCCATTTCCAAGTTTCCTGTTACTGTTTCTCCCTCCTCACTGAGAAATGGACCTACCCTGTCCTTGGTCTTTCTCTTGCTCCTAATATACTTACAGAAAGTCTTCTGTCTGGTTTCACTTTATCTCTGTAGCTAGTCTGAGCTCGTTCTGTGCCTTTGCCTTTCTAATCTTCCCCTGCATACCTGTATTGTTTGCTTACATTCATCCTTTGTAATTTGTCCTAATTTCCACTTTTTATATGACTCCTTTTTTATTTTTAGATCATGCAAGATCTCCTGGTTAAGCCATGGTGGTCATTTGCCATATTTATATCTTTCCTATGAGGCGGAATAGCTTCCTTTTGGGCCCTTAATAATGTCCTTTTGAAAAACTGCCAACTCTCCTCAGCTGTTTTTCCTCTTAGTCTTGCTTACCATGGGACCTCACCTATCAGCTCTCTGAACTTACCAAAAACCGCCTTCCTGAAATCCATTGTCTCTATTTTGCTGTTCTCCCTGCTGACAATTTTCTTCCACTATTTGATCTGAGGAAGTGGGTCTGGGCCACGAAAGCTCATCAACTAATAAACCATCTTGTTAGTCTTTAAAGTGCTACATAGTCCTGTATTTTGTTTGGGAAACAAGAAGACTTTTTATAAATACATTAGAAGCAAGAGGAAGACCAATGACAGGGTAGACCCACTGGTCAGTGAGCAGGGAGAAACAGTAATAGGAAATTTGGAAATGGCAGAGATGCTTAATGACTTCTTTGTTTCAGTCTTCACTGAGAAGTCTGATGAAGGAATGCCTAACATAGGGAATGCTAGTGGGAAGGGAGTAGGTTTAAAAGATAAAATAAAAAAAAAGAACAAGTTAAAAATCACTTTGAAAAAAGTTAGATGCCTGCAAGTCACCAGGGCCTGATGAAATGCATCCTAGAATACTCAAGTAGCTGATAGAGGAGATATCTGAGCCTCTAGCTATCATCTTTGGAAAGTCATGGGAGACAGGAGAGATTCCAGAAGACTGGAAAAGGGCAAATATAGTGCCCATCTATAAAAAGGGAAATAAGAACAACCCAGGAAACTACAGACTAGTTAGTTTAACTTCTGTGCCAGGGAAGATAATGGTGTAAGTAATTAAGGAAATCATCTACAAACACTTGGATGTGGCAAGGTGATAGGGAACAGCCAGCATGGATTTGTAAAGAACAAATCATGTCAAACCAATCTGATAGCTTTCTTTGATAGGATAACGAGTCTTGTGGGTAAGGGAGAAGAGGTGGATGTGGTATACCTAGTCTTTAGTAAGGCATGTGATACGGTCTCGCATGATATTCTTATCAATAAACTAGGCAAATACAACTTAGATGGGGCTACTCTAAGGTGGGTGCATAACTGGCTGAATAACCGTACTCAGAGAGTAGTTATTAATGGTTCACAATTATGCTGGAAAGGTATAACAAGTGGAGTTCCGCAGGGGTCTGTTCTGGGACTGGCTCTGTTTAATATCATAGAATCATAGAACTGGAAGAGACCTCAGGAGGTCATCAAGTCCAGCCCCCTGCTCTAGGCAGGACCAATTCCAACTAAATCAACCCGGCCAGGGCTTTCTCAAGCCGAGACTTAAACACCTCTAGGGATGGAGACTCCACTACTTCCCTAGGTAACCCATTCCAGTGCTTCACCACCCTCCTGGTGAAATAGTTTTTCCTAATATCCAACCTGGACCTCTCCCCCCACAACTTGAGACCATTGCTCCTTGTTCTGCCATCTGTCACTACTGAGAACAGCCTCTCTCCATCCCCTTTGGAACCTCCCTTCAGGAAGTTGAAGGCTGCTATCAAATCCCCCCCTTATTCTTCACTTCTGCAGACTAAACAGACCCAAGTCCCTCAGCTTCTCCTCATAGGTCATATGCTCCAGCCCCCTAATCATTTTGGTTGCCCTCCGCTGGACCCTCTCCAATGTGTCCACATCCTTTTTGTAGTGGGGGGCCCAGAACTGGACACAATACTCCAGATGTGGCCTGACCAAAGCTGAATAAGGGGAATAATGACATCTCTGGAGCTGCTGGCAATGCTCCTCTTAATGCAACCTAATATGCCATTAGCCTTCTTGGCTACAAGGGCACACTGTTGACTCATATCCAGCTTCTCATCCACTGTAACCCCCAGGTCCTTTTCTGCAGAACTACTACTTAACTGGTTGGTCCCCAGCTTGTAACTATGCTTGGGATTCTTCCGTCCCAAGTGCAGGACTCTACACTTGTCCTTGTTGAACCTCATCAGATTTCTTGTGGCCCAATCCTCCAATTTGTCTAAGTCACTCTGGACCCTATCTCTGCCCT